TAGGAGGATGAGGAAGAATTGTTAAAGGAAACTGAAAGAGTGGCTAGTGACATGGGAGGGAAACCAAGGGAATGGTTGTACCCTTGGAGCCTTGGTTCCCTATTTGTAAATGTGAGTGCTGACTTGTTCTGGAGTTCTGAGATTCTGTTATTCAGTATTGGTTATACCTACATGTCATAATTTGTTCTTTTTGAGAAGAAGAATTCAGAATGCCACATAGCCTTATCCCCAATAGCAGAAACAAGGATGCTTTTTAACTTTGAGAAAATTAAATTGTTCACATTGTTCCTTAGCATACTTAACTTTCTATGTATACTCTTATAAAAGTAATTCTCTTACATTCTATAAAAGAAGGTATCTAGGTCAGTATTTTCCAAACTCTGTTTTGTAGAACTAATGCCAGTCATTTATAAATTGTCTAGGGGAAAGAAAATGTTTCCATGGTCAAATAAGTTTAGGAAATGCAAGTTAAAGTTAAAAAGATTCTTTTTTTTTTTTTTATCCTCATCCGAGGACATTTTTCCATTTTTTGTACAGACAGAGTGGGAGGGAGAGAGAGGAAGAGAGAGAGAGGGAAACATCGATGTGAAAGGGACACATCGAGTGGCTGCCACCCGCACGACCAACCAGGGCTGGGGACAGACAAACTGCAACTGAGGTACATGCCCTTAGCGGGAACCGAACCCGGGTCTCTCCGGACTGCAGGCGGACGCTCTAACCGCTGAGCCAAACCGGCCAGGGCAAATAGATTCTTTAATATGGAATTTTTTGGGCCTGTGAATATCTAAGAGAATATTTATTTCACCTTGGAGGGATCATGTTCTGGATGATGATTTGGGGCTTATTTGTATAGAAGTGATGGTTTGAATTGTGCCTAAGGATGAGGTATACAAGACTGAGCAGGTCTAAATGGTAAATACTTCCATATGAATGTTCTGCAGGCACCACAAATTCAGTATATCCAAAACGGAATTCACTTTTTTCTGTAAAATATGCTTTTCCTCCCTTGAATTTTCTGTTTTGGTTAATGGCATTACCATTCTCTTGTGACTCAAGGCAGACAATTGGGGGCTCATATTTGTTCTTCTCATTTACATTTATCCAGTTGGTACTTATATTCTGTTGGATTTACTTTGTTTATCATCTACCTAAACATCTTCTCCATGATCTCTCTCCTGCTGTACCTAAGCCAGTCATTAACTGTCTCTTACATGGATGCGCTGACTAGAGCCTACCCTCTTCTAACACTGCCTTTTCTCTTTTTGTTGCACAAATCTGATCATACTTTCCTATTAACCTTAGAATAAAGTTTCTTACCATAAACACTTTAGCATGACAATCAGGCCTTTTCCTGAAGTGGCCCTTGCTATCTCTTCACTTGCATCTTCAAGTTATTCTTCTTTTACCCATACATACCAATCATATAAGATCACTCAGGAGCTCACATTTTTGCCATTTTGTTTTATATTATATTTCTTTGCCTTTACTCTACCTTGAATTTCTTTCCCCTATTTTGCTAACTTTTTTTTTTTTTTAATCCTCACCCAAGGACATATTCATTGATTTTTAGAGAGAAGAGGGAGTAAGGGAGGGGAAAAGAGAGAGAAAAATCAGTGGGTTGCATCTCGTATTGTGCTCCGACCCAGGATTGAACCCACAATCTATGTGCCCTGACCTGGAATCGAAGACCCGACCTTTCGGTGTGTGGGATGACACTAACCAACTGAGCCACATTGGCCAAGTCTTTGCTCTTGCTGCAAACCAAGTTCACTGTAGTGTCTTCACTGCTTCCTTGCCTCTTTCACCTTCACAGTAGCTTAGTCCTTTCTTTATACAGCCACTGAGTCGTATAGATGTCTCTTTTCTAGCACTTTTTACAATTCTGTAAACATTTGCTTCAGTATGTTTCCTTGACAGTGAACTTCTTGAAAGGAGGACTGTGTCTTAACTTTGGACTGAAATTCTGAGCACAATACCTGATATATGTGCAACCTGGTAACACGTTTAGCTCAGTTACTCTTTCCATACATAATATCTATTAATACCTCTTGGAACAAATGATCAGAAATGCTGCACTAGATGTTTTACTGTTATTTATTAGTATGATGACTAATATCTTAAATTTAAATTGAATGTCTAAATGGAGGGTATTGAGAATTGGTTGACTTTACTACTGGCTAGTTGTATATCCTCTTTTCAGCATTTTTATAGTATGCTTATAGGTATTCTTAAATTGAAGATTAAATTTTGAAAATCACCATTGAATTTTTTGGCTTTTAAATGTTATTGGAAAGAAAGAATGTGGTCAGGCTGAAATAAATTTGGACATTTTCCCTCTTATAGTTCCTTCCCTGTTCCCATGGTATGTCTATAGTGTGAATGAAACGTCAAAAGAACACACTAATGTAACTCATCCAAAATACTCATTTTACATGTAGCCTTGAATTGGTCATCTTACTTGCAGAAAAATGCAAATAGGGACATTTATTTCATTTTAAACTTCAGAGGGAAAGGATTGCCCTTGAGAAATATATCAGAAAGATCTATTTCAGCAGGTTTATATACAGAAGAAACATTACTTATTTGCAATCTTGACCTCTAATGATTTGTTATTGAAATTGATCATCAGTCAGTCCTCCTGTTCTTGTTACATTGAAGTCTTAAATAGTGTTTGTTTTCTATGCTATCCTTTGTTTTTCTGTTAAAAAAGTATTGTAATATTCACAGGTAAAAAGTGTAATTATGTAATAGTAGGTCATTAGCTGAGAACTTTGAGCTTAGCAAATTTCACTGTCTTCTACCAAGCAATTGAATATCTCATGATGACTATTTCAGCAGGTATCTTTAGTGAATAAGAATTACAGGTAAAAACTTATTTTCTTTTCAAAAATGTTAATGATGTATTCATATTATATTATAATTTGTTACTCTTAAAGTATGCCTTTATAGTTATTAAAATGTAGTATACATCTTAGTAATGAATGTGATCACTCAATGAGATTTTGAATAGTGTACTTTTCTAATTTAAAAAAATTTTTTTTCTAAATGTTTTTACTGGTAATTACAGTTTTGTTTCTTAAACAGAATACCAGTGTTTAAAGCCCAAACAAAATTGTCATCCCAATTTTGATAAGCCTGTTAGTGGTAGTTATTTTAATAATTTTGTTCTCATTGGTTTCTTAGCCAGTAAAATGAAGAGTAATAAACACCTGTTACCAACCTCCCTTGCAGAAATATTACAGTACTCAATGTCCCCAGTTGAAATGCAATAATAGTAACACATGCTTAATAGCTTTCATTTTAATTGCTGCATAAAGTGAATTTATTACAATAGCCATATGTGAAAATGGTTAGCGTGATAATACCTCTTTCTTAAGAATACAAGGTCTTTGATAACATTTTCAACAGTAGGCTGAAAAGGAAAAGGCTTTAATAAAATATTTTAAAACTGCTTTGTAACCAATTTGTTTCAATTTTTCAAACTGAGTTTAAGATTATTAAATACTTAAAAATAAAGATCAGTTGTAGTTTACAAATTTATTTCAACACTTCATTATTCCAATACCTACTTTTTTGTTTCATCAGATTAATTTTCATGTTTTCTTACTCTTTATACATGTTATTCTTAAAACTATTATTTTCCCATATACAGTCATTAAAGCAGTGAAGTTACACTGTATACTTGATGTTATTTCATTTTGATGCATATTCTTGTTCACAATTAAATACTTGAGAGAATTACAAATCTTTGACCTGAAAACGATTGACAGTTACGCATTTTGTTCATTTTTTGTGCACGTTTTACTCGTTTACTTTTGTTTAGTAAGTTACTTCTAATTATTCTAATATACCACCAATATAGTGCTTATGCAAAAAAAAGATATGCTCTCTTTGAAATTGTTTGCAATTTCATATAACTAAAATATAGATAAGTAATTGTACACAGTTAAATTATTATGATCTAGTAAGGCATTAGCATTTTATAGTCCTAATTTTTTTTTAAAAAACCCTCAGAGATTAGATAAAGAAGAGGAGTGTTTGCCAATTCCATATTTCAAATACTAAACATGAGAGTAGCTTTTAGCATGGTTCACATTCTGTCCTACTAGATGTCTTCATTTGTGTTCATGAAATTTGTATAGTTGTTGCTAATGTTAAATATATTATATATAGCTATTAAGCCTTCATAAAGTTATGAAATACTCAACTCTGTATTAATGGCATTTCAGATCGGGGGGGGCACCCTAATTATGCAAATTTTAATATATAATATCAGCAAATATTTAGTGAACATTTTCTGAAACAATATTTTGGAAAAGTTAGCTTTTATATTGATTATTTTAAAAGATTTTATAGGTGCCATATGCCTTTGTTATTGTAATAAGTTACAAATAGTAGTTTTTGAAATCAAGAAGTTTTAAAAATGTATAGTTAATATTTGAGCTATGCTTACAAAGATTTTTAAGAGAATATATCCTCCAAAATTCTAAATCTCTATGATTTTATCATCTCTAGAGTAAGTTAATTGTAATAAATACTGAAATGGCATTATTGTATTGAATTTCACCATGGATAAAAAATATATTCTCCGCTATTTAAGTCCTATAATAGTCAATACTAATGCATATAATATATATTAACCATATAGCCTACTTTTATTTTTTTAGAGTAAATTATTTTTAAACTGTTTTACTAATGTGTTATGTTGTTTCTTTTAAATTGTACTTGGCATAGAGAAAATTTCTTAAGTGCTCATATTTTTAAAGAAGAAAATACATGTCTATTCATTTGTTTAGCACATTTGTTGAGTCTGCTGTTTATTTTTTTATAAAATACATTTTATTTTTTTCTTAAAGTATTTTCTGAGGTAATTTACTATTATAGTATAAATTGTACATTAGTTTAGATTTACATTTTAATTATTTTAAGCATGCAAAAAGAACTGTTTTATGTTTTTTCATTGTAATTATAAAAATCTCAATACTTATTTTGTTTTCAAGATTAAAAACTGAAGCTCCCACTAAGGAACAAAAACCTGTGTCTGAGGTAAATTTTGTCTTATTTTATACCTTAAAGATTTAGACATTAGAAAGTATTGTTGGTATGGTTTTTTTACAAACATTTTAATTCAATGTGCATACATCAATAACAATTATTGGCATGTTTTCGGGGGGAAAAAATGGAGATTTTTTTTTCATTAGATATAAAAATATCTAATCCTAAGTAAAATTGCAAATTGGTTTTATTTTGATAAAGACATTATATATTTTATTTGACTGTTTCAACTAGTGAGTAATGAAAACAAATTTATGATTTAAAAATCCCCAAATCAGTAAAACCTCTAACATTTGGTATATTGGAAAATGAATCTTTCAAGATGATAAATCTTTCAAGATGAATTTAGACTGTCAGAGATGTAAGTAATTTTTTAAGTAGAAATATTTTGGATATATAGTAATTATGCTTTAACTATCTAAAAACAGGCACTGTGAATATAACATTCAGGGTTGTCATATAAATGGTATTTACTGGGCAGTCTGATGAGAAATTTCTAATTTCTAAAGCTGGAAATAATTTTGCTCAAGTACTTCCTTTCTTGATGTTAATTTTTTAAAATATTAATTAATATTATTGTTTTTTCAGAATGTAATGAAGTGAGGCAGATTTAACATTTATCTTTTGAACAGCACTTCTGTCTTGTACACTGAATAAGAAAACCTAGACAGAGTAGCCGCCTTCCTCCAAATGGCTTTTTATGTTACCACAGAAAGCTTTCTTTTGTATGAAAGGTTTTTAACTACAAATACATTTCTTTAATAGATATATAGGATATTGTGGTTATTTGTTCTTGAGTAGTTTTGGTAGTTCGTGATTTTCAAGGAATTGGTACATTTACTCTGAGATGTTGAATTTATGTGTATAGAGTTGTTTGTAGTACTCCCTTATTCCTTTAAATGCCTGTGGGTTCTGCAGTGATTAATCCTCTTTTCATTCCTGACATTGATAGTTTTTGTGTCCTTTTTCTTTTTTTTTTGTCATGTACTTTACAGAACTTACAGAGACAGAATACAATGTCACTGTTTTTGCTTTAGTCAGTTATTTTTTAGAACAATTAAAAACTTTTAACTCTTCTTTTCTGTCTAGTATCATATTCCTTGGGCCTAAAGAACTTTGTTACAGATTTACAATTAATCCCTATATCTTGTTACATATAGGTCTACTGATAATTCTTCCATGCTTTTTTAAATTAAATTCTTTTTCCATTTTTGAATGATACTTTTTGTGAGTATAGAAGGGTTGACAGTTTTGTTTCTTTTCTTTCAGCAGTTTAAGGAAGTCATCGTGTTGTCTCTTGGATTGTATATATTCTGATGCGATGTCTTACTGTAATTTTTATCTTTGTATGTATATATGTAATATGTCATTTTTCCTTGGTTATCCTCAATATTTTATCTTTATTTTGTCTTTAATCTCCATTAGTTTGAACATGATATGACTAAGTTTGGTTTGTTCATTTGTTTATTTATATCTTTATCTATATTTTGTATTTATTTTTTGCATTTGTCTTGATTGGTGTTCTCTGAGCTGTTTTGTATCTTCAATTCCTGGGGTTCCAATTTGACATGTGTTATATCAGTTGATGTTAGTCCCTGTTCTTAAATGCCTGTTCTGATTTCTATGTCCCACTCCCCAGCACATACACATTCTTTTCTTTGTATTTCAATTTGGGTACGTTCTATCTATTGACCTATTGATTTATTTTTCATTTGTTTCAAGTCTGCTGATGCGTCCATCAAAGGCATTTTTCATCTGTCATTGTGGTTTTTTTTGTTTTTTTTTTTCTAGCATTTGCATTGATTCTTACAGTTTCTGACCCTCTGCTAAAATTCCCATTATAGTCATGCACGTTGTCCTCCTTTTTCTACCAAAGCATTTAACATGCTAATCATAATAATTTAAAATTTTCCACCCTATAGTTCTAACATCTGGGTCATATCTTAGTCTGTTTCTGCCAATTGCTTTGTCTCCTGATAGTGCATTTCTCCACTCGCTTTTCTATGTGTTTGAAAGCAAGACATTATATGTAGGACTCAGATAAAAGTATTTATATCTGAAAATGGGCATAGCTTTTCTTATGTTAGGTCATTAGTGTGAGGCTCAGGTTCATGTAGTAGTGAGTGGATCTGGATTTTTATTTTCTTGTTGCAATGGTTACCCTCAGTGTACCATGAAGTTCATTTCCTCTAGTATTTATTTGTCGTTGGAGTGAGAGTTATATTGTTGGAGGTATTTATTTATTCATATATTTATTTAATTCTCACCTGAGGGAGAGAGAGGAAGAGAGAGAGAGAGAGAGAGAGAGAGAGAGAGAGAGAGAGAGAGAAAGAAACATCGTCGTGAAAGGGACACCTGGAGTGGCTGCCACCTGCATGACTAACCAGGACCGGGGACAAACCCCAGCTGAGGTACGCGCCCTTAGCGGAAACTGAACCCGAGTCTCTCTGGACCGCAGGCCGAAGCTCTAACTGCTGAGCCAAACCGGCCAGGGCTGTTGGAGGTTTTTAAAATAAATGTTCTTTGCTCCACACTCAGTTAATCTTTTCCCGTGAGACTGAACTTCAGAGGATCTCTTTCTCTACCTACACTCTTGCCTTTCTTCCAGCAATAGTGCCCTTGCTTGTTATTTGATGTTTGCTAGCCTGATGGTGGGTAGTGGGAATAGGTGATGTTCTCAGTTCTGGTTTAGCTTCACCTGAAAGATGGCTCAGTGTCTCTGGGTCTTGAAGTAGGATTTTTTTTTTCTATACACAGCCACAGTCAGTCCTTGTGCCCAGGGGGTGACAGGTTTTGCCTCTCTTTTTTACAAATATGTAAAGCCATGAACATGAAGAAAAAATATATATCCATAATTTCATAACATCATCCATTGATTGTGTCCTGAGGCATTCATACTTGACTAGAATAAATCATCAAACTCTTATTTTCTTTTATTGCTGTGTTTTATCTGTGTCAAGTAAAACCAACCATTTCATACTTAAACCAAATTTCTTAAGTTTATTTTTTGTTAAAAGAAAAACAGCTTATGTTAAAGGAAGCAATATTGAATGGAAGGCCATATTAAACATTGTTAGTCTAGGTATTTCTTGTGTGTGTGTGTGTGTGTGTGTGTGTGTGTGATGTGGGTAGTCCCTTCAGTAGATCCAGGTGCTTAAGTATACATGTGATATGTTGGTAGCTTGAGTTAATCTTCAAGGTTTTTATCAGGTGCATTGTAGTGGAATCAATGTTGTCATGCCCTGGTAATATTTTAATGTTATCACTATTTAATTTGTGTAGTTTTCCATTTCCTCTTTAGTAATTAATTTCTTTCATATGCTAGGTAGTACTTAGAATTTATATTATACAGTGGCTTCTAAAATAGCCCCTTTTCTGCTACTCTTTATATCAAATTCTATACACTGCAGTATTGTACCGCTTTCATTTCTTAACTCTATATATCATGACTCTTCCACTCCAGTCTGATGGTTGGTTAGTTTCATTGTAACTAAGTAGGAGGTAAGAGAGAAGAGGTAAGTAGGTACAGATGCCTTTTTTTTTCGTTACTTCCTTCCTTAGCTATTAGGGACACTTGATAGGATGTTCCAGGAATCTTTGTATTGGTAAATAAAGATTAATAAAATTATTTCCCTGTCCTCAAGGTGGTCAGAATCTAAGAGGACAATTAGATATGAGAGAATTATACTCTGGTAAGAATGTATGTGTATGTTTGAATTGAGAGACAAACATTAAGAAAATAATTAAGAAAATCATAATAAAATCACCTTGAAGAGACTCCTACTATATTCCAAGTATCTCAGGTATAGGGTATACTAGGAGTCCCTTCAAGGTGACCATTTTTTCTGATGGTCCTTGTTCAGTTATGAGGGAAGTTGACAAATTGTCTTCACTGTTTGTAGCTGTAATCCATAGTACTGCTAAGCAAAAGCAAGTTTCATTTAATTACATATACATGTTTGTATGACTTTTTTATTTACTTTTTTTGTTGTTGTTAATCCTCACCCAAGGATATTTTTCCATTGATTTTTAGATAGAGTGGAAGGGAAGGGGTGGGTGGGGGGTGGGGTGCGGAGAGACATTAATGTGAGAGAGACGCATTGATTGGTTGCCTCCTGTACAACCCTGACCAGGACTGGGGATTAAACCTGCAACCCAGTATATGCCCTTGACCAGGAATCAAACTCCTGACCTTTGGTCCGTGGACTGACTCTCTAACTGTTGAGCCAAACTGGCCAGGGCTTTTTTTGTCATTGTTCTGTATGACTTTTTATAGTATTAAGAGCACCAAGGTAAGTAATACAAATTTATTTGTTAACATAATTGATCTTTCACAAATGAAATTTGATCAGTTGTCATATTTTTCCAAAAAATTGTTTATACCAGGAAATTTTACTTTCTTCACCTAAAACCATTGTAGTTTACTGTTTTTCACTTCCTTATATTAAAAAAATTAATTTCCACTACTTCTTTTTATTTTTTACCAAATTTGTCTGAAAATCTGGTATATAATTTTCTGTAGTTTGTAATTATTATTTTTGTATTTTTTAATAAAATTTTTATGTACATCTATTTTGTCAAGTATTATAATTTACATGAACTATGTAAATCCATAATTTACATAATTCATATAGATTAATTAAATGGTCAGTATATTTAAATAGGTATTGATTAAAAATCAATATATTTAAAATTTATACTAAGAATTCTTAAGAACAAACATGACACCCATGAAGCCAGTGGTGCATTGTTAAGAATAAAAATGCAGGCAGAACTTGGTCAAAATTATATGGAACAGTAACAAATTTGTCTAGAAAAACACAGTATTCTAGCTACTTAAAATGATGATGTCTCCAACTGATACTATTAGGATAGATACTATAAAATTCAGAATTAAATAAAGAATTTTATTCTAATTGTGAGGGAAAAAAAGTAAAGAAACTGAAATTAGAAATTTCAGAAGCAAGTGAATATAAGCATGAGCAAGGAAA